TGGAGGTAGGACCGACGGCGGATCTTTGAAGACGACGTCTTAGAATTCCTCTACCAAAGAATAGTATGGAAACAAGGGACCTTCACGACCGACGGTCCCCTTCGTGCGTTCAGCATCATCGTGGTATCCTTCAGGACAGCTTCATCCTGAAGCGACGACAAGTTAATCTCCCCGTTCGGTCGTATAATGACCACTTCGGCTAAATCGCCTGCCTTCAAGGCACTGCCGAACACTTCGAGGGACATCTCGTTCAGCTCAAGAAGGGCATCTACTGCAGGTATAGCCTCGAGGCGGACGTCGCCACCTTTATATCCCGTCATACCGTTGACAAGGGTATATATCTGTGCGATACTGTCTACGGTAGACACTTCCGAGATCAGGACCGACGCCCTGCGTTTTGCAGATAAAATACGGCAGCGCCGTCTCCTCTCTATATATGTTTTACGTCTTGTCGAGACCAGCTGGAACACGCACTCGGTGTCGTCCAGTGCTCCCACTCCCTGCTCTATCGAAGCTCTGATGTTATTAACAGTACGCGACGAAGAGCTGCTATTTCCGAAGTCTTCGTCCTGTGTGTAACGTGCCACTCCACGGGCATCAGAAGGGTCTTGCTCAGGATGCCTCGAACCTCGTCCGACCATGCCACTTCTGGCCTGCATCACTGTTTTGTGACGTGAGCAGTGCTCAGTGGATTATGTGCCACTTCACGTGCATCAACGGGGCCTCGCCCTCGATGCCCCGGTCCTTGGCCGACCATACCACGCATGGCATGCAGCGACTGCTCCGATGCTTGAGCAGCGATCAGTGGATTACGTACTACATCACGTTCAGTTTGCGAGCACGCTCGGAACTCCTGTACAATACACCTTTGATGTTCGACAACTCGAATATTTCGATCTTTAGCCCGTTGACCGTCCTGGTCCAGTGCCCGCGCCAAAAGCGCTTCTGCTACCTAGCAAAGGTCGGTTCATGACTCGCCAAAGCTCCACCAGGAAACGTACGCGTAGCGCCCAAGGTCTTTGACCTCCAATCTATTCATGGCTCATGGTGTTCCAACTATGCTATACCAAGGATGAGGTAATACCTTGAATCCAAATACAAGTCTAAACAGCGTTCCACAATATCAAAGTTAAGATACAAGACATCGAGGTCCACAGGGGTTTTCAGCACCGTGACACAAGTCCCCGTTGCTAAGCATACAGTGATGGTGGCATTCAATTTGCGCTTTGAGCGCCTCAATATACAGCTGATTTCGATTGTGTAGCGTCGAGCATAATTGCCTGACGCCCCGGAGTCGATAAGGATCCTCCATGGCTTCTCAAACGCCTTCACGGTCAATTTCACGACCAGCAAGCCCGGCTTGCATACATGTTCTGTGTTCAAAAGCACAGAACTCTTCGGAGCTGGGCTATCCACCAACGATTCAATCGTTTTTAAGTGGCCAGTTCTGGGCATTACTTGATCCATCGACACACTTCTTAAGTGACCACCCGTGGCCACTGCATACGAATCCGTATCTTTTCTAACCTGAGGAATGTCAATTGCATGGTATATGTGGATCATTTACAGCGACATACGACTGCTTCGCGCCTGAGTGCTTCTTCTGGTGCATAGTGAAACCGGATTCATTACTCCCAAGAGTTTCGCCTACGCCTGGAGAACTACTCCCTATCCTTTTCGATCGCCAATCAATTCATGACTCGTGCTTCTCCAACCACGGTATACCTAAAATCAGATCGTATCGTTTGTCCATCTCGAAGACGGTAAGTAATCCCTTCGGGAGGAAATCTTCAAAATTCACTAGAAGTTCGGCCGTAATTTATTTCGGTGACCACCGCACCAGTGACCCACTTCTCTGGATAAAGCCATTGCTTCTATCTAGTGCATCCGATAGCACTGAATCATTTCCAGCATCACTTTGCTTCCGCGCATAGTTATTTGACGCCCTAGAGTCAACAAAAACTCTAAACGGACGACCGTAAATCTTCACACTCGCTGTGACCACGGGGAGACCACTTCGACTTGTGTTGTAAACAAAGAACAGCGATCCTTGAAGGGCTAGAAGCTGACAGTAGTCCTCACTCAATACAATCATAATTGAATCTTCCAGAGTCGTCGGGCTCTGGCGGATGCGCTCAGTCTTAGGAGGGCCAATTATGAGTCTCTCCATATATACGGTCACTATCTCTGCCTCTGGCGGTGGTTCACTTGCCATGCTTGGCACAAATCTCACGGAGCTACTACAGCGTTGCTGTACCGACTCCGTCGATGTTGTCCGGCACCGCCGCCCAATGAGCTATCTTGCTCCAGTACGTGGTCGTACAACGTGCCGTTGTCTTGATAGCATGACAGAGACTTCGACCGTCGAAACGCTACATTCGGCGGAAGGAACATCGATTCCACGGCCGATTTCAGCTCTTGATGTGGCAAAGCTGTCAGGGCGGTTATCTTCCTACGTCATCGCCCGACCCTTCGCACGGCCATCCAAATGCAACATGGCATAGGCCACTGGACGATGGTCATCACCAATTTGATCCATCGTGATAGCGATGCCTAGTTCTCGCTGCCAGAACGCAACATTTTCATCTTCGTTCCCGTGAAAAATCTTTACCTTGATTTTTGACGGGACTCTCCGCGCGTCACCAGGAATCGTGATGGAGGTGACGGAAACGGCGTCAGTCTATTCTGCAATAGAAATCCGGATAACCCCTGCTCATACGCAGCAAATTTGCTAAGCAAAGAGTTACCGCTTCTTGATCCAATTAAAGCATATTGGAGACCGTGTGATCCCCGATTTAATTTTACAGCTTCACCAAATACTTCCACTGCTAGTGTGTTAGGAACAAACATTCCTCCCTGTTGATCCGAGGACGACCACCGCCTATGGTGTCTCCATTACCCATCGATAAATTCATCGACGTAGTCGGCGTTGGAATGACTACTAGTGAACCAATTGTAACGAGAATTGCCCGTCCGTGTACACACACTTTCTGAAAGAAAATATAAAAATATACCGGGTGTATAGTCTATGTCAGACACACAAATCATGCGGTCCACACAACATGTGTAATGGTACTTGACTCATTACAACATCATAGAAATGAAATCGCCGATTTCTCTACGAAGTATAGCTGGCCTGATATCAGCAAGTCAAATCTGATCGGAAGTTTCCGCCACCAAAGACCGGAGCTACTTCGTGATGATGTCTAGGGCACCCGAGGGTTAATCGGACCAATTTTGTGAGAAAAAAAACCTGTAGAAGCATGAGCTGAGAGTTTAACGGAATCGAAGTAGCTCCGCTCCAGCACCACGATCTCTTAACGCAAGTGCTTCGAAGAAAAATTCCCATAGCGCAGTATCCCATTCCGCCAGACGATCTGTGCTCGGATGGATGGTGGTTAATCTCTGCTCGATCTGGTATAATTCATAAAGACATTGCTGTAACATGCAAATGTCCCTAGTCGCCAGCCATAATTGTCAAAACACATTGTCAAGTGACAGCTTTGCTGAATTTATACAAGCCGCGCTATTATTACAGCGGCCAGTATCACCTTGCTCAGAGTATCTGCAACGACTCAATGTCGGGGTTAATGGGTGTTTGTTTTGGACCAGCGAAAATATTGTCCATACTTATGTGCTGCAAACATTCTGTCACAGGCTGGCTAAATGCGACGCTGCATGCGACGATAGATTAGTCAGTCAGTGGTCAAGGCATACACGTGCGCACTAATGTGCTAACCTTCTTATACATGATAAGTGGCCCATCGATATAGTCCAACAAGCAGTATACCTTATGATCTCCAAGTTGGCCACTCAAAGGAATAGCTAGTGCCTTTTCACTCTGTACTTGAGGTCCTAACCATGAGGCCAATCTACGTTTTGATTGTCACATTGGCCAGTGCTTCAATGCAACAAGCCTTGGAACAAGGCATAGCATGCAGGTGTGCGATCGCTTGTTATGCTAACAAAACATCTAAATTGTCAATCTCGTTGCGTCTGACCCGTACGCCGTACGTATTGCCTTATCAATTGGCGACAATACCACCGTGACATTCAACAATGCATAGTTGAGTGATGCAAAAGCGCATCCACCACCGTACTAAGCCTACGCGGCTGATTACTTACCTTAGAATTAAATTTAGCATAGAAGAATCATCATTTCGTCATGACCTGTATGAGAGTGGTGAGAAGTTGCTGTGCGCAACGGCGCATGATCTGTGTAATGACAAATGACTTGGAGCCGAGAAGGTGCACACTGAAGTTGGAAAAAACATAATTTACTGCAAATAGCTTCTTGTCATGAATAGAGGTGTTCTCTCGGCAAATTTCGTCTGGAAATACTCGAAACGCGTTGATGCAAATTGGCATCTGCGTGAAGTATAATGCAGCCTGTTGCGAATGATAGATCGTCACAGACGACGTAAAATGGCCGAATTGGAATCGGAAGAGGCCGAATTGAGGCACATATAAGAATTTCTTCCACAGCAGTAAAGGTCTACACACTAACATTTTTTTAGGAATCTTCTTAACGAGATTAGTGAGGTGTCGTACGATATCGGCATAGTTTGCACAATACTTATGCATTCAATTGGCCAGACCCAGTGACTTTTTCAAATTCTAGCCAGTCAACGATGGCCTTTATCTTCGCGGGATCTGTCTGCACGGCATGCTTCCTAATGAAACAGCCCAGTAAGGATTTTAGTCGGGATCTAAACGCTCTTACTAACACTGACGAATTGGCTCTAAGCCCATTCCCTCGAGCCCTGTCAGCAAGTGTTCAATGTGTTTTATGTATTAGACGGCCTACCGTGCATAATTACAAATCCCATAGCATCCTACTCGAAAAAATTAGTGCAGTAAGAAAAATATCTCCGTCTTTCATGAGCAGATGAATTATTTATTAAGTCGTTCGAAGGCACTGATTAAACCAACCCTGCTGTTCTGCAGCAAGCTTGGACAATTCACTACTTGTCGTTTGTTTCGTCACAAAACCCGCTTCATGCTAATAAGAAAGCGTCAATGATGTCACACTGTTTCCTTGGTAAAGATCACTGCCAAATGGCACCTCATTTGGTTCCAGGGACCAAATCAGTCTCCTCACGCGCTTCCCTAACCAAAGGTTACTCGCGTGGAGGATCTCTCACCAATACGAACTGCAACGAAAGATAAGAAGTGTTTTTTTCAGTATTCTTGAGGATGTCGGTCCCACTCCTCGAGACTCGTGCTTCACTGGAGAATTTTGGTCTACAATCTTTAGGGTGCTTGGCACCAGGTTGACTATGTCAACAGCGGACCATCCGCAGACCGATGGTCAGACTGAGCGCGTGACCGCGTCGTTGAAGACGTTCTTGCAGTGTCTGCGCTGAGACGCCGAAGCACTGTAGCGCTATGTTGCCACTCGTAAAGCTTGCCCCGAGCAATGCAGTGCATTCATCTACCAACTACACGCTCTTCTACGTGAAATAACTTGTTAAATCTTGCACTGACTCCGCGATCCCATGGCTCAGGGCTTGGTGGAGGAGAAATAGCCAAACGGCTAGCTGATGTCAGCCCCCTCACCGTGCGTAAAGAAGTCGGAGACTTCCTGTCTACCAGACTGAGTGTTTAAAGACACGTTCGCGATGCGATGGCTGAAAGTCAAGACATGCAGAAGGAATATGCATACGGAAGAGAAAGAAGAAATGCTGAGAACATTGAGGTCGGAGACATGGTTTTATTAAGTACAACATCTTCTTCACACACGCAGTTTCTGCTGTCCTTAAGGCGAAGCTCCGTCCACGGTTTATTGGACCTTTTAAGATTGTGGCCAAGTGAGGCATTGCGTATACGCTGAAACTTCCGAGAAGGATGCACACCCACCAAGTGATTTATGTGGACTTGCATAAGCCGTACCGGGATCCGGTGCAAGTAAAAGCGGAAGCGTTGGCGCCGGGGCGGCGCCCAAAGGCGCTCGGCCATCCAGAACTTGAACGAGCAACTGGTTTTGAGCACGGGTGCAACGGTTTCTGTTTCAAACGACGCAAGGCTCTCCACCGTCGCACGAGGTGACGTATTCAGCGGCCAGGAGCCGCTTCGACAGAGCACGAAATCACAACGCGAGACAGTCGATGCACAATGTGATCTAGGCTCTGTAGGTCTTCCGCACAGCGGTAGACGACCTCGGAGATGACGAAGGATTTTGTCCTCCAACGCTCGAAGAGCACCGCGATTCACCGGACGGTGATCGACTAAGTCGTCATCGTCCGCTGCCGATTGCTTCTCGGCAGTAGCCCAGGAAGCCGGAGGGCTATGATCTGAGCCAAGCTATGGCAGTGAGCTGCTGTGGTCGTAGACTCACCCGTGTGAGAAACCACATAGCTCGCAGGGGCATTATGGATTGTTCCATTTGTCGCAGGACGACAATACGTAGGAAGTCGGCGTTGCGCCTTGAGTTTAGCAAACTCAAATTTAGGATGGCGCTAAACGCGCGCGTCCACTTTCCTGTGGCTTTGCTGTAAGGTAGAGTGCGACGAAAGTTCACGGTGCCGCTGCACCCATCGCTCAAAGAGCTCATCTTCATCTGCAGCGGTTTCGCAAGGGGGGAGCACTGCAGGAATGGTCCGCATTGCGGGAACAGGAGCACCTCCTTTTTGAGCTCGAAGTTGGGCGCGGTCCCGATCTATTGGGGTCTCATGTGGTACCAAAACGCTGTAGTGGCCAGGGGCCCGAGAACGTAGACGCCTAACGATCGAGTGGTCACGTCTTTCGCTTCAATAGCGGGATCCGTCGAACGGAAGCCGTATTCCACATGAGGGTCTAAGACCGAACGTAGATACGAGCGCAGGAGAACCGCTCTGTGAGCAGCCTCCAATTGCTGCTCCTGTGCCCCGTCGAGGCGATTGGTAATAATACCACTTCCCCTAAAAGCCGAGAGGTCGGGGAGCGGACATGGTGTCCGCAAGGTTTTGAGCTGAGCTCACGACGCGCCGTTGGCGCACTTCATCTCCCTCGTCATTTTATGCTGGGAAAGGAGTATCCGACTCGTAGTTAACTTCCTCCGTATCCTCGACGAGGAATTTCGTCGCCCAGGGCGGGCGCGTTATATTGCGCTCAGTTGCCGAGGGCTTGGTATTTGCTTCCCGTGAAGCCGCGGACGTAATACACCTTGTGCAGATATATAAAAAAAAATCCCAACTTTTCAAAAAATAAAAAAATACCCCAGCACGTAAATTATCACCGGGGAGCCGTAATATTACACAGCAGAAGATGTATTGTATCAGGAATGAATTAGCATAGTTTAACAAAATACCCCATAATAGAAGAAGATCAAGGACTTAGATGTTCAGTAGCTTAGTCCGCCATTAATCTACTTCGAGGCTTCTTTATTCCACAATTGTGACT